TGTATTGTGTTTGTATATGTAGGAGTCCCTGGGTGGCACAAATAGTTAAGTGCTCGACTCCTAGCTGGAAGATTGGCAGTTGGAACCCACCCAGCGGCACCTTAGAAGACAGGCCTGGAGATCTATTTCTGAAACGTCGCAGGCTTGAAAACCCCATGAAACAGTTCCGCTTTGCACACATGGGGTTGCCAAGAGTCAGAATCAATTCAGTGACAACTAGTGACAACATATATACATTTCTTCTTTTATGTACATATAAACGTACGTGTACATTTATTTTCCCTTTTTCTATACAGGTGTACATCACTGTTCTGAACAATCATTTTTTGGCTCACCAGTGTATCTTAGGAATCTTTCCATTCAGTACATAAAGAGCTTTCTCTTTTTTAACAACTGCATAGTATTCCATGGTACCAAAAAAAACTAAACCCATTGCCGTCAAGTCGATTCCGACTCATAGTGACCCTATAGGACCCAGTAGAACTGCCCCATAGAGTTTCCAGGGAGCGCCTGGTGGATTCTAACTGCTGACCTTTTGGTTAGCAGCTGTAGCTCTTAACCACTATGCCACCAGGGTTTCCTTCCATGGTATGGATGTACATAATTAATCAACCAGTCCTACCCCCCTACTGATGATCATTTAGGCTGTTTCCAATTTTTAGTATTATAAACAGTGCTACAATGAATAATCTTGTACATATATGAGTTTGCACATATGAGTATATCGTTAGGACAAATATGTAGAATTACTGAGTTAAAGGATATGTACATATGTCATTTTGACAGATGCTGCCAAATTTCCTTCCATATAGGTTATACCAGTTTATTCTCCCAACAGCCATGTATGAGAGTTTCTGTCTACTCACACCCTCACTGTCATGGAATGTTATCAAACTTTAGATTTTTCCAATTGATGATGAAAATGATACCTAATTTCTTTGATTGTTAATGATACTGAATTGAGCATCTTTTCATAGTTTTAATATCTGTAATTCTGTATTCATTTCATAGGGCTGCCTTAACAAAGTACTACAAGCTGGGTGGCCTGTGAAAACAAATTTATTATCTCACAGTTCTGGAGGCTAGGATTCTCAAGTCACGGTGTTGGCTAGGTTGGTTCCTTTTGAGGGCTCTGAGGGAGAATCTGTTCATGCTTCTCGCCTAACTTACGGTAATGGTCTGCGATCCTTACAGTAATCTCTGTCTTTGTCCTCACATGGCCGCTCTCCCTTTATATCTCTTTCTTTGTCTCTTTTATGAGGACACCACTCATTGGATTAGGACGCACTTCACCAAGTATAATGACCCCATGTTAACTGATAGCACCTTCAGCGATCCTATATCTAGATACGATCATGTTCATAAGTACCAAGGGTTGGGACTTCCAGCATATCTTTTTTGGAAATATAGTTCAATCCATAAAAAGTTATTTTTCTGTGATCATATTCTTTGCTTATTTTTATATTGGATTTTAGATTGCTGATCTTTTTCCTTTTTGCTCTCGAAGAATTTAAAGCAAGTACAGGTAGTCCCTGACTTAAAATTAAAAAAAAAAAAAAGTATTTGACTTAATGTCAGAATCGGCTTACAACGGAGTCAGGAACGGAACCTGTTGTAAGTTGAGGACTACTTACATTTAGAAAATTTTGTTTGACATTTAATTTTTGCCATGCAGATTTATATATATATATAGTTAATAGATCTTTTTATTTATGGTTCATGGATTTTGTATCATGGTTAGAAAGGCCTTTCTCCAAAACTATAAATGACTTTTCCAATGATTCTTCTACAGTTTTATTTCATTTTTACAATTGGATCTTAGAATTTATCCTCGTGTAGGATGTATGATATGGATTCAGTATTTTTTTCCTTTCTCCAGATGGTCACCCCATTGAATCAATAACATTTTTTATTAATCTATTTGGGCCTACTTCTGAGTTTTCTATTCTATTCCTTTCTTTTGTCTATGTGTCAGTACCACACTGTATGATGTACGAGGTCTTATGTTTTTAATATCTGTTAGAAGTAGTCTAGGGAGCCCTAGTGGTCCCGTGGTTAAAGTGCTCGGCTACTAACTGAAAGGTCAGTGGTTTGAATCCACCAGCTGCTGCATGGGAGAAAGATGTGGTAGTCTGCTCCTGTAAAGATTTACAGCCTTGGAAACCCTGTGGGGCAGTTCTACTCTGTCCTATAGGGTTGCTATGTTAATGGTAATGGCAGTGGGTTTTTTTTTTTGTTTGTTTAGGTCTAGTCTACCTTTGGCTATTGCTTATTATTCCAAATGAATTTTAGAATTAGCTTTTCTTGTCCTCCTACTACTCCCCCCCCCCAAGAAAAACACACATATGAAATTCTCTTGCTATTTTTATTGGGATTACATCAATTTCATGATTAATTTAGGGAAGAATTGATGTCCATATTATCATGACCAATCTTCCTATCGAAGAATATGGTATCACTTTCCAGTGCTCAAGTTTCTTTTGTATTCCTTGAAAGAATTTCTAATTTTCTTCATGTAGATCTTGCAGATTTCTTAATGAGATTATTCCTATGTTTTATATTTTTTCCTTGCTGTGGTAAATGGGCTTTTTTCCTATTATGTCACCTAATTTGTTTTTTGTATACATGGAAGCTGTTGATTTCTGTATGTTAATATTTTCTCCAAACATCTTCATAAGTTTAACTATAAATTGTAATAATCTTACCATGTTTCTAGTCTACTTCTCCTCAATCCATTCCCCATATAATAGGGATCTTTTTTCCCCCACATTTTACAATATTTTATTATTATACAGCAAGTATTAATACCACAACCAATCTCATCAGAAGAGTGTTTTAACTATTACGAGGCTGTCAAGCTCATTGCCATCGGATACAAGTTTTTCAAAACTATAATTTTTGCTTGAAAATTGAATTTTATGGCATTTCTTTTTTTTATTTGTACTTTAGATGAAAGTTTACAGAACTAGTTTCTCATTAAACAATTAGTACACATATTGTTTTGTGACATTGGCTGCCAACCGCATGACATGTCAACACTCTCCCCTTCTGGGCCTTGGATTCCGTATTACCAGCTCTCCTGTCCCTTCCTGCCTTCTCGTCATTGCCTCTGAGCTGGTATGCCTATTTAGTTGTGTTTTATGGGCCTGTTTAATCTTTGGCTGAAGGGTGAACCTCAGGAGTGACTTCATTACTGAGCTAAAAGGGTGTCTGGGGGCCATACTCTTGGGGTTTCTTTCTCCAGTCTCTGTCAGACCAGTAAGTCTGATCTTTTTTTTTGTGAGCTAGAATTTTGTTCTATGCTTTTCTCAGCTCTGTCCGGGACCCTCTATTGTGATCCCTGTCAGAGCAGTCGGTGGTGGTAGCTGGGCATAGATAGGGATCTTTTATAAACATAAATGAGTTCATGTCACTACCTCAATTCAGTACTATCCTATTCTTGGAATTAAGCGCCTGCCTGCCTACATCTCGAACTCATTTTCTACCTCTCTTTACCTTCTTTCATCCTTTACCTGCACTGGTCTCTTTTCTGTTCCTTAAACATACCAACTAGCTTCTCACTTCATGGCTTTGCCCTATCTATTTCCTCTGCTAAGGGAAAGAGTATTCTAGGCAGAGGGAACAGACAGGGCAAAAGCGCTGCAGTGAGGTTTGCCTCATTCACATTTGAGACTGTTTACATTCTCAATCTGAGTTCTGATGTTACCTCCTTAGAAAGGTAACATTTACTAAAAACAGTTATTACAGTCTGTAGTTATTTCATTTATTGATGTGTTTACATGTTAATTATCTTTCTTACCCGCCAGAATTATTCCATGAAGACAGTGATCTTGTCTGTTTTGTTCACCACTCTGTTTCTGTCACCTAACATAGTAACAAACACATAATAGCCCCTCAGTATATTTTGTTGAATGAATGAATAAGTGAATTGATTTATGAATTTTGAAAACTCGACATCAAAGTTGTACTCATTATCAAAGTTAAGGGGGTGGCCACTTATTTATCAGTATTCTCAGTCATACAGTAACGATTTATAACTATGGAATTAGAGTCTTACTCGAGTAAATCATTATATCTGTAAGGGGATACGAGTAAAACTCAGTAATTGTTTGATAAATGAATAACATCTAAAAATACTGAATTTATTCTTTTATGTTGTCATTTTGAAGGAGCCCTGGTAGACCAGTGGTTAAGTGCTCGGCTGCTAACTGAAAGGTTGGCAGTTTGAACCCACCTAGCAACTCTACAGGTGAAAAGACATGGTGATCTGCTCCCATAAAGATTACAGCGTAGAAAACCCTAGGGGACAGTTCTACTCTGTCACATGGGGTTGCTGTGAGTCAAAATTGACTCAAGTGACACCTAACAGCAACACTGTCATTTTGCTAATTCTTCCACTGTTCCGCTTCTCATCCCTTTCTCCTTTCCTTGATCTTAGTATGGTACCATGCTTTTGACTTGACATTGGTGGGACAGTGCAGTTCTAGACTGGCCGTAAATGTAGGATCCTAACCCATTTGTAAATTAGGCATTAACTTTTGTTCATAATGGAGCAAGTTTAAAGAATTACTATTATAGTGTTTATAAGAAAGCTATAAAGAGGAGACACTCCAAAACATACAAATCATATGTCAAAGTGAAATGAATCACTTAGTACTAAGTAATAAACACAGCAAGGTATGATTCATGAAGTTAAATGGAAAATGTCAAGACATCTTAATGGTAAAATGTTTTAACCATTTTTCTATAGCCGAATTCTATAAAATTGAAGGTGAGAGAGATGTCAAGATGAATTTGCACTGTTTTCCACATATTAAAATATAAAATGATGTAACTTCTAGTTGTGCGTTAGTATTTTACATTTCTACATAACTTAGCTTGTACTAAACATATAATTTAGAAGATCAGAAATACGTGTGATCTTCTGAGCATGAAGATACTGGTTTAAATTGTTTTGGTGTTAGTAATTCATGTTTTTCCCCCTCTCTCTTCCCATTAAGGATTCTGGAGTCTGCTTATAATATCTGTAACTGCTGGATTCTCCTGTTGCAGCTTTTCTTGGACAGTGACTTATTTTGATTCTTTTGAACCAGGAATGTTTCCTCCTACTCCTCTTTCACCTGCCAGATTCAAGTAAGTATTCCTGTCTCTTTTTTTTAACCCATTCCAACTCTGTTGAAAATACTAAAATAAATAGAAAAGGCTGCTTCTTTGTCAGATAAGATGTTGAGGGCCTAGTCATTCATCTGTGAAACATAAATGACACAATGCTTTTCAGCTTGTGGTCTCAACCTTTATAAAAATGGACACAAATAATATTTTAAATTCTTTATTGAGATAAGGCAGTGCTTTTTGTAAAAAATGACACTTAAATGATCTATGAACTGATTAACTTTGATGACTATTTGTTTTAGGGTAGAATTTCGTTTAAAACGTTCATGAAGGCAAAGTTAATGGCAGCAGTTTGAAAGTTTTACTCTAGATTCATACATCAGTGATCAGACTTACAACAGCTTAATTGAATTGGATTTTTCCTTAGGATTTATAGTTCGTGTAATGATTAACAAGCATTCATGTCACCCAATTTATATGTGTAGACCAGATTAGATGCTGTTCATAGTGGAACAATATTAAATTTCTTTGGTCTGTATTTCCTATCTCAAGGAATTTTGGAAAATTAATCCAATTTATTTGTGCCAGGAAAACTTAAGTTTCAAATATTAACTTCCAAATAAGAGCTTCTGAGATCTCTAGTTTATTCTAGCAATTGGGGGTGGTGCGAGTGGGTAGGGAGACAGAAAATAAATTCTGTTAAAGATATGTATAGTCTTACAGTTGTTAACTATTACTGTTATTACTGTCAGCTCCAGCCCACATCATGGACATGTTGTAGAGCTCAAATAAGAAAATCTATTTGAGGGACTCTGTAAATGTGAATTTATACTAATGATAGTTATTAATAACCACTAGTATCGCTGACACCGCTGGTTTTCGTTATTAGTATACTCCTATGTATTCTTGTCTTATAAATATATCTTTAAAATTCTTTGATTTCACATCAGATGAAATGTATATATACTTTTAAAAGTCTTAATAACTGTATCTGAAACATACATTCATACTTGCTAGTAAATGTCCTTTTTTGTGTGTGACATGGATGATGATTAATCTAAATTAATTGAGTTGTACCTAACAGCAGAATTAACATCCCATGGTTTACATGGGTATAAGTCATAGGAAAGTTTATTTTGTTAAATGATATAGTATTCAATATAAATTTGTATTCTTTTGCTGCCTGTTAACATCAGTTACTTTAACAAGAGGTATAACTCTAATATAATGAGACTCATTTCATAAGTCAAAAAAAGTAATCTTTTTTTCTTTTATTTATATTCCACCTCTCCCCTGAACTCCTGCCTTACATTTCCAGCTACCTAGTATACCTTGTTAACTGGATTTCAAAAGGCATCTTGCACTTAGAGTGATTAAAACCCTAATCTTGGTCTTAAAGACATCAGCATCCACCAGTTTACCAAGGCTTGAAACCCTTGCTCACTGAATTTATTCCATCACCAAGCCCATTCTGTCCTGCCTGTTGAAATGTCCTTGGAACACACCTTCTTTACTTAAGGCCTTGGTCAATGTACTTGAATCCTTGGTTTCCTATCCTCTAAGCTCTCACTTTTCTAATTTGCCCTGCATTTTGCTATCTTTCTAAGAACAGATCTAGTCACAGCTCTCCCTTGTCTAAAAGTCTTCAGTGGCTTTCCCATTGCCTTCAATGTAAAGTCCACCTCCTAAGTATAGCGTATCATATCCTTTGCCAAGTGACATCACCCTACTTTTCCATCTTCGTTCTCAGCTACTTCAATATGCCCCACACCGCAGCCACATACAAAATTAATTTGGCATCCCCCAAGTAAACTATGTACTTTTGAGATGTCATGACTTTACTCTTGCTCAACTCTCTTCCTGGAATGGCCTCTTCTGTTCTCTTCCACCACCACTAGAATCTATAAGCCTTATAAATGTTTGAAGCTTTTTGAGTTAGAGAAAAACATTTCATTGTTCTCTTAAAGATTTGCATTTCAAACTCAGGGCATTTTAACTCTTTTTCTTTTTTGCATTTTTTATTAAGTCATATCCAGTGGTAAAGATCTCAATTTTCAATGTGGTAATTAGTCACTCAGATTTAATGTAAGGATAGTGTTAGATCACAGTCTTAGATTACATGCTTGTTAATACAGCCCTAAAAATACAGTTTAAATATATGTATATATGTATGGTTTTGATTTTCTCTAACTGTATAAGTAGGGATAAGTAAATTTTATCTATGATAAATCACCTTATTATTTCATGGGAGTCAAACTAATTTAACAATTGTCACATACTAATAGAAACCACAGCCTCCCAAAAGGCATATTATAAATATGATAATTGGTAATATTCAGAGTTTTATAGTGAAAACCTTGTCCCTAGTGTTTGTGGAAAATATGCAGTTACTTCAGAAATGTCAGAATAAGTATATTCTCTGTGTCACCAGTAGAGAGAGTACTTGTACAGGGAAACAACTTCTCTAGCTTTTGAGAAAGTGAAATCTTCAGACTTTATTTTCTTAGGAGTCAGACTGATATTCATTAGTATGCAACATCATACTTTTATAAAAATATCTTCATAACAGTTACGTATTTTATTACCTAAATGATGATGTTAATATAAACATTTTTCTTGATTATATGAAAGTAACACAGGTTCTTTGTTGAAAATTAAAAAACAAAAAAGAAATGGAAGTAACCCATAATTAGGGAATTAATATATATCTTTTCTTTCTGCATGTTTAAAAAATTAAGATTGATGTCACAATGTACATACTGTTTTGTAACCTACTTTTTTATTTAACATAATGTTGGAACATTTTCCATTCAGTGTTTCTTTTGAATTTTCAATGTTTTAAATACCCTTTAAAGACTAATCATCATATACATTCAGTTTCTTTTTAAAATGAAATCTCTAATATCAATGGGAGCTGGATTCCAAGATAATTTATGAAACAAAGGTCTGCTTAGCTAAGTAGAAACTAAAGGAAGGAAAGACAAAATGAAGAGACTTTCTTTTTCTTTCTTTCTGAGGTTAATATTATTTAAAATATCCCCTATTTGTAACTCCATGAATATCAAACATGAAGAGAGTAAAAAACTCATATCTAGTTGGTTTGTTAAAAAAGCAATCTTTTGTTATCCTTTGCAGTCCTAAGCACATGAGCGTTTTAAAAAACAAAACAAAATAATAAACAACCCAGAATACCAACTTAGTATGGAAAAAAAACTGAGAAGACTGTGTTTACTGTGGGTATCAATATGTTCTCCTAGAAATGTATAAAATCATTCTAGAGTAGGGAATTCATTCTTATCAAGAGTAGGGAAGAAAAAAATTAACATCAATAAATATTCAATGAAACATTTAGTGAAGTACAGTAATTTAGATCAGTAATTCACTAGGAGAGATTGAGATTACAGATAATACCCTTTCCTTATATTTATTTATTTTTTCATATTTACTCTTCTATACTTACTGTCTTAGATACTTTTACATAAGCACAAGATCTTTAGGAAATACAAGAGTTAAAGAACTTTGCAAGTTGTATTTTTCAGATAGGTGTTTAATGGACTTCAGTAGGCATATTTTTCAAACTTTGTTGTATTAAAAACATATCCTGCAGTGTTACATATATAGCCTTCTCTATTAGGAAGCAATCATTTAAGCATTTGGGTCAAATACAGTTCTAAATATGTGGAGGACTTTAACTTAGTTGTTACTAAACAGTCTGTTACAGTGTTAAAGAACAAGAGGCAGAGTTTAAATTCCTTGAAGATACAGGCATTCCCCATTTCTACTGTATAATTCATTATCCTGCTGTTTCTACACTGCCTAATAAGCATCTCCAGTTTACTTGTCATCAGTTTGCCTTGTATGTTCATTAGGTTTTGTCAGTGATTTCCAAGCAGGCAAATACAATGCGTATGCACAGTCAATATTTCACATTATGCTTATCTGCTTTAATTATGGTTTCCAGGAGTTAATGCATCTAAGCATGTGACCAACTCATGCAAAAATAATACACATATAGAAAACCAGAGCTTGAGATGATCTTGGACTTCATTCTACACTGGGCCAATGGCAACACCAAAACTTCTATTTAAGTCCTCCTGACAGGGGAGGAAGTGGAGTATGGTTTGGAGACGTGCCTTGAAGCCGTGTTTTTCCTAACAAGTACACCTTTTTAACTAATAGTGTAGGATTGGTAGGGATATCTTAGAGGTTCTCATTAAAGATTATGGGAGAATTAAGTCCTTCCTAAGCCACCCCTAGGTGTTACCATTAGTCTAGGTCCTCCATTTTTTAGCAAATGAAGAAACTGAGTCCCAGGGAGTTTAAATGACCTGCACAAAGTCACATAATTTGCATGTGACATAGCTAGAACCTGACTGCAAGTTTAGTGTTTTTGTTTGTTTTGCATTGCTAGTTAGCGAAACTATTCTGCATTTTGAAATTAACAGGAAGAACTTCACTAATTGATACAGCATCATTCTACTAACAACTGGCACTGTGAACTTTTGCTGTGTGGTCGTTTTCTCATGCAGTATTGCCAGATCCAATCAAAATCTGTTCTTAACATCTCACTGTCTTTGTCCTCTCCATTTTTTTCTCCCAGTGACCTGCAGTTTCCACTTTGGACTGCGTTTCATGTTATCAGTGCACAAGCCCCATCTTGTGGTGAAATAATGTAGCTGCAGGTTTATAGTTAGAAAGCCAAACCAGACCTCCTGCGGTGGAGTCAATTCTGACTCATAGCAACCCTACAGGACAGGGTAGAACTGCCCCATAGGGTTTCCTAGGCTGTAATCTTTACAGAAGTAGACTGCCACATCTTTATCCCGAAGAGTGGCTGGTCGGTTCAAATTAGTGACCTTTGGGTTAGTAGCCAAGTGCTTAACCACTGTGCTACGAGGGCTCCTGTAAAAACAGTGTGGGGATAGTGCCTGACCTCCTCCAGCCCCACAAGGGGGAAGGAGAACCAGGATCAACAGTGCAAGGCTGACTCCCATGAGGTGGAGGCCAGACAAGCCTCCTCT